GATTCTGTTTTTATAAGATAAATGACTCCCATCCTCCCAAAGTAATTAGCAATTAAAGTTACTACTTTTATTTATAATAAATACAAATACAAACTTTTAACCTAAGCCCTCAAAATTTTTAAATTACCTTACTTAAAGTTTTCCCTTGGTATACACATAAGGTCATTTGCCAAATTCCCTCATTTTTCCAAAAGTGCTTCTATTTCCATTTCTCAGTCTCAACACTCATCCAAGTCATGTTTTTTTTTTTTTTTTTTTTGAGACAGAGCCTCAAGCTGTCCCCCTGGGTAGAGTGCTGTGGCATTATAGCTCACAGCAACCTCCAACTCCTGGGCTCAAGCGAGTCTCCTGCCTCCACCTCCCAAGTAGCTGGGACCACAGGCGCCCGCCACAACGCCCGGCTATTTTTTGGTTGCAGCCGTCATTGTTGTTTTGGCGGGTCCGGGCTGGGGATTCGAACCCGCCACCTTAGGTGTACGTGGCTGGCGCCTTAGCCCGTTGAGCTATAGGCGCCGAGCCCCAAGTCATGTTTTTGTTACATTTTACCTGGGAAAACTTTAGCTTTCAAATCCATGATCCATCCTTCCTACTGCCCCTCAGGGGTTAGCTTTGAAAAGCAACGCTTTTTGTTTTTGTTTTGTTGCCCTCAGTAGAGTGTCCTGGCATTATAACTCACAGCAACCTCAAACTCGTGGGCGCAAGCCATCCTCTTCTCTCAGCCTCCTGAGTAGCTGGGAATACAGGTGCCTGCCACAGTGCCCAGCTATTTTTAGAGATGGGGTTTTGCTCTTGCTCAGGGTGTTCTCAAATTCCTGGCACAGGTAATCCACCTGCCTTGGCCTCCCAGAGTGCCAGGATTACAGGCATCAGTCACTGTACCCAGCTAAAGCAAAGTTCTGACCAAGTTGTTATCCTTAGAAACTCCCTATAATCCCTCACCTTCTGGATCTTTTGCAGCTTTGTCTTTAACATTCTTAAGATTCAAATGCCTCAGACCTCTTTATTTTTCCACATTTATTCTCACTTTTCCTTCTTTTTTGAATTCTCTTGCCATCTCTGCCTGCTAATAATTTAACTCCTTTTTAAAACTCAGCTCAAATGCTCACTTCTATAGTAAGCCTTCCTTCATCTCCTACAGTAGTTCAGACCCTTTCCTTGTTTTGAACTTGAGGATATAGCTCATGTGTTCCGAACAATGCCTTGCACAGACTGACTTACTAATTTTAATAATATAGTAGGCTGGGTGTGGTGGCTTACACCTGTCACCCTAACACTCTGGGAGGCCAAGATGGCTGGATTGCCTGAGCTCAGGAGTTTGAGACCAGCGTGAGACCCCAGTCTCTACTAAAAATAGAAAACTGAGGCAAAAGGATTGCTTCAGCTCAAGAGTCTGAGATTGCTGTGAGCTATGATGCTACAGCACTCTAGCCAGGGCGACAGAGTGAGACTGTCTCAGAAAAAATAATTTTAATGTAGCAAATATATTTTATCTTCTAGCTAGTTAAAAAAGGAAGAAACCAGAAAAAAGTCAGCAGAAACAAGTACGGGTGGAGAGCTGGAACAAGATCAGAGCAGGTGAAGGAGAATACCTGGTAGTGTGGTAGGAGAAGATTCTCTGCTAAGAATCAGGTGGCAAAAGTCAGAGTTAGCCGTCTCATTCACAAATCAATCATACATGATGCCCTCAGTCAGGCAGTCTAGAACAATGGGCACTGAGAGGTGACTGAGCACAGACTGGGGAAACCCGGGATACATGGCTGTGAACATAAGCTGAGCTTTCGGGCTTGCCCTACATGACACTCTGGTAGGTAACCCAAATGCACCCTAATAAAATTCAACAATAAATGAATACCTGGTTTGTTTTAGGCACTAGAGACATAGATGGTGCACAAAGCAGACATCCTGCTCTCATAAAGCTTACATTCTAGAACATTTATTGTAATTGAACAGCGTTTAAGGGTAGACCTTGGATGGTCCCTGTGATTTCCTGACTGACAAGACCTAGGGTAATTTTTGTTTCCTGAAGTTCCTGAGAGCTTCATCAAGAGTGACTGTCTAATCGTGACATACCCACAGTGGGTGGAGGTCATGGAAATTGGGGAAAGAGAATCCCAGGACTAGGAGAAAGAGCTGAGTAGCTGAATAAGAAATTGGGAGTGAGGAGGGTCTGACAAACAGCAAGCAAATCTGTAGTGATGCAGAAGGATAGTCCTGAGAGCCAAGATTTTGGTGTCATTTGGCATCAATTCCAAGATCTAAAGATCTGTATAGGGATCCCAGAATCTCTCTGGTTATTTGCTGCTCTCCCTCTCTCTCTGCCTTTCCAGCTACCTTTAAGCCTGGAGGCCTCTGCCAAACCACACCACTCACGTAGTCTCCATTCACACTAACCTTTCTCGTCTTCTGTGCCTTTTGTTTGGGGTGCTCTCTCTACTTGCAACATTTTCCCTTCATCCGTATGAGTTCATATGCACACTCTTTTAAAGCTGTACTTGACCAAAAAAATGAAAATAAAATGAATTGATCATGTAGAATTTTTATCATAATTACAGTTATAAGGACCATTTGGCCTTCAAGAGACATATCCTTAATTTTCTATTCAGTTTTCTTCAGTGACTATTTCAAACTTTTCTGCCAAATGTAAATAGAGTAGATAATTATATACATAATGGAAAGCGCATAGGCTTTGGATTGGACCTAAGTACAAATCCTAGTTCTGAAACACATAAGCACTATGATTGTAGCCTGAATGTTTAACTGCTCTTACTCTTAGTTTCTTCATCTGTTAAATTGGGACGATACTATTTTATAAGGACTGTTACAAGGATTTGAGGAGAGAGTTTATATAAATTAGTATATAAGAGTGATGGATAAATGTTGCTAAATAGGAAGTAGCAAGACATTAAGATATTGAAGGACAACAATACCTTAAAGAAGAGGTTGAATCAAAAAGTTTGTGTGGGCTTGGTGCCTGTAGCACAATGGTTACAGCGCTGGCCACATA